TGTGACCGTAGGGTTGTGTGTGAGACCGTAGGGTTGTGTGTGAGAGCGTAGGGTTGTGTGTGTGACCGTAGGGTTGTGTGTGAGAGCGTAGGGTTGTGTGTGAGAGCGTAGGGTTGTGTGTGAGAGCGTAGGGTTGTGTGTGAGAGCGTAGGGCTGTGTGTGACCGTAGGGTTGTGTGTGTGACCGTAGGGTTGTGTGTGAGAGCGTAGGGTTGTGTGTGAGAGCGTAGGTCTGTGTGTGTGACCGTAGGGTTGTGTGTGAGAGCGTAGGTCTGTGTGTGTGACCGTAGGGTTGTGTGTGAGACCGTAGGGTTGTGTGTGAGAGCGTAGGTCTGTGTGTGTGACCGTAGGGTTGTGTGTGAGACCGTAGGGTTGTGTGTGAGAGCGTAGGGTTGTGTGTGTGACCGTAGGGTTGTGTGTGAGACCGTAGGGTTGTGTGTGAGAGCGTAGGGTTGTGTGTGAGAGCGTAGGGTTGTGTGTGAGAGCGTAGGGTTGTGTGTGAGAGCGTAGGGTTGTGTGTGAGAGCGTAGGGTTGTGTGTGAGAGCGTAGGGTTGTGTGTGTGACCGTAGGGTTGTGTGTGAGAGCGTAGGGTTGTGTGTGAGAGCGTAGGGTTGTGTGTGAGAGCGTAGGGTTGTGTGTGAGAGCGTAGGGTTGTGTGTGAGTGTGTAACACTGTCCTCATGTACAGTAATGTGATCGCTCAGCTTTCCTGCTGATCTGAGAACTCCTCAAACCAATTATGAGATCAAGAACACGGCTCTATATCTCACAGCTCACGAAGCTGATCATCCGAGGAGTCGCGCAGAGACCGGACGACAGACTCTGTTCTTCTATGACGTTTCATAATCCAAACATTAATATGTTGTTCCAATCCTTATGATTTCCTTTCATCATCTGAAGAATATCACAAGGGCGAGAAAACACTATAAAAGTGTAACTGCTCGTCTTCTGAAGCCTAGCTGAGCTTTACACACGTTTCACGGCTCTGAATCAGAAAACAAACTGAGGAACATTAACAAACACCTTATTTAGCATCTCCTATAATAATTAAATATGCGATGACGTGAATGAGATTTGATGACAGCACCAGATTTTTGAGTTGTTGTGTTTCCATTTAGTTTAATTGTTTTTACTTTGGTTAGTTCGCCCAAAAGCTCAAGCCAGGTGTATATGACTCTCTTACAGACGAACACAATCAGAGTTATATTAAATATCCAAAGCTTTATAATGGGAGTGAATGGAGCCCAAAAAAAGCGCATCCATCATAACAGTGATCCATACGCCTGCAGGGGTTCATAAAGGCCTTCTGGAGCGAGGCGTTTTTGTAACAGAGCAAAAACGTCTTGCGTCGGGTCAGAGGTCACTCTTCCACCGGAACTAGCGCTCCGTTACCGGTTATAAAGTTATAAATATGGATATTTTTCTTCTCTTCAGAAGGCCTTTATTAAGCACTGGATCCATATTGATTACTTTTATGATGGACAGATGTACTTTTATGATGGATAGATGCACTTTTATGATGGATAGATGTACTTTTATGATGGATAGATGTACTTTTATGATGGATAGATGGACAGATGCACTTTAATGATGGACAGATGCACTTTTATGATGGATAGATGTACTTTTATGATGGATAGATGGACAGATGCACTTTAATGATGGACAGATGCACTTTTATGATGGACAGATGCACTTTTATGATGGACAGATGCACTTTTATGATGGACAGATGCACTTTTATGATGGACAGATGCACTTTTATGATGGATAGATGTACTTTTATGATGGATAGATGGACTTTTATGATGGACAGATGCACTTTTATGATGGATAGATGTACTTTTATGATGGACAGATGCACTTTTATGATGGACAGATGCACTTTAATGATGGACAGATGCACTTTTATGATGGATAGATGTACTTTTATGATGGACAGATGCACTTTTATGATGGACAGATGCACTTTTATGATGGATAGATGTACTTTTATGATGGATAGATGGACTTTTATGATGGACAGATGTACTTTTATGATGGACAGATGCACTTTTATGATGGACAGATGCACTTTAATGATGGACAGATGCACTTTTATGATGGATAGATGTACTTTTATGATGGATAGATGGACAGATGCACTTTAATGATGGACAGATGCACTTTTATGATGGACAGATGCACTTTTATGATGGATAGATGTACTTTTATGATGGATAGATGTACTTTTATGATGGACAGATGCACTTTTATGATGGATAGATGCACTTTTATGATGGACAGATGCACTTTTATGATGGATAGATGCACTTTTATGATGGACAGATGCACTTTTATGATGGACAGATGCACTTTTATGATGGATAGATGCACTTTTATGATGGATAGATGCACTTTTATGATGGACAGATGCACTTTTATGATGGACAGATGCACTTTTATGATGGACAGATGCACTTTTATGATGGATAGATGCACTTTTATGATGGACAGATGCACTTTTATGATGGACAGATGCACTTTTATGATGGACAGATGCACTTTTATGATGGACAGATGCACTTTTATGATGGACAGATGCACTTTTATGATGGATAGATGTACTTTTATGATGGATAGATGGACTTTTATGATGGACAGATGCACTTTTATGATGGATAGATGTACTTTTATGATGGACAGATGCACTTTTATGATGGACAGATGCACTTTAATGATGGACAGATGCACTTTTATGATGGATAGATGTACTTTTATGATGGATAGATGGACAGATGCACTTTAATGATGGACAGATGCACTTTTATGATGGACAGATGCACTTTTATGATGGATAGATGTACTTTTATGATGGATAGATGTACTTTTATGATGGACAGATGCACTTTTATGATGGATAGATGCACTTTTATGATGGACAGATGCACTTTTATGATGGATAGATGCACTTTTATGATGGACAGATGCACTTTTATGATGGACAGATGCACTTTTATGATGGATAGATGCACTTTTATGATGGATAGATGCACTTTTATGATGGACAGATGCACTTTTATGATGGACAGATGCACTTTTATGATGGACAGATGCACTTTTATGATGGATAGATGCACTTTTATGATGGATAGATGCACTTTTATGATGGATAGATGCACTTTTATGATGGACAGATGCACTTTTATGATGGATAGATGCACTTTTATCATGGATAGATGCACTTTTATGATGGACAGATGCACTTTTATGATGGACAGATGCACTTTTATCATGGATAGATGCACTTTTATCATGGACAGATGCACTTTTATGATGGATAGATGCACTTTTAGGATGGACAGATGCCCTTTTATGATGGACAGATGCACTTTTATGATGGATATATGCACTTTTATGATGGATAGATGCATGTTTATGATGGACAGATGCACTTTTATGATGGATAGATGCACTTTTATGATGGATAGATGCACTTTTATGATGGATAGATGCATGTTTATGATGGACAGATGCACTTTTATGATGGATAGATGCACTTTTATCATGGATAGATGCACTTTTATGATGGATAGATGCACTTTTATGATGGACAGATGCACTTTTATGATGGACAGATGCACTTTTATGATGGACAGATGCACTTTTATGATGGACAGATGCACTTTTATGATGGATAGATGCACTTTTATCATGGATAGATGCACTTTTATGATGGACAGATGAACTTTTATGATGGACAGATGCACTTTTATCATGTATAGATGCACTTTTATGATGGACAGATGCACTTTTATGATGGATAGATGCACTTTTATGATGGACAGATGCACTTTTATGATGGACAGATGCACTTTTATGATGGACAGATGCACTTTTATGATGGACAGATGCACTTTTATCATGGATAGATGCATGTTTATGATGGACAGATGCACTTTTATGATGGATAGATGCACTTTTATCATGGATAGATGCACTTTTATGATGGATAGATGCACTTTTATGATGGGCAGATGCACTTTTATCATGGATAGATGCACTTTTATCATGGATAGATGCACTTTTATCATGGATAGATGCATGTTTATGATGGATAGATGCACTTTTATGATGGATAGATGCACTTTTATGATGGATAGATGCACTTTTATCATGGATAGATGCACTTTTATGACGGATAGATGCACTTTTATCATGGATAGATGCACTTTTATGATGGACAGATGCACTTTTATGATGGACAGATGCACTTTTATGATGGATAGATGCACTTTTATGATGGATAGATGCACTTTTATGATGGACAGATGCACTTTTATGATGGATAGATGCACTTTTATGGACTTCAGAACAGAAACAGCCATCAACTCCCATTATAAAGCTGGGAAGAGCCAGGATATTTTTGTCAATGTCAACTCTGATTGTGTATGGCTGAAAGAAGAAAGTCATAAACACCTAGGATGGCTTGAGGGTGAGTAAATCATGGGGTCATTTAGATTTTTGGGTGAACTAACCCTTTAATTATTATTATTATTATAAGGAGAGCCAATTTTAATGCACATCACAGTGGCCTAATGATGAAAAAACAATGCATGAATTTATTTTCACTCCATGCCAACAGTTCCAGCTCATCTGATGTCTCAGTAGAGCAGCATTAAATGGTTAGATCACCCAATAATGAAAATAATCCCATAATTTACTCAATTACTCAAAGCTCATGCACTTTTATGATGGATAGATGCACTTTTATGGCGATTCGCTGCCATTATTAGGAAGAGCCAGGACATGTTTTAATACAACTCTGATTGTATTCGTCTGAAAGAAGAATGTCATATACACAGTAGATCATGGGATTATTTTCATTTTTAACCCCGCCTCCATCCGTCACCCTCCAATCAAACTCAGCTGCAGCTCCGCGCGCACTTTCATGAATGAACGCGAGCGGCTTCGGGACAGTCGCGTCACAGCGCTCTGCACGGACATTACAATCTCTCGTCTTCTACAATCCCATCAGCGAGCATGGACATAATACGAGTGTCTCTGTGACTCAATGCAACTCTTCACTGCACATTTACTCACGGAATGCGCGATGATAATGATGATGATTATGTCTTCGCTACGGGACGCGCGCGTTGCTGTCATTCGTCAGATTCATGCCGTCAAAGTCACGCGAATAAAGTCCTGAGGAGAATGGCCGTGCACAGAGAGGGATGGCAACTTTCAGCAACGCGCCCCTGGACCTGCGAAGACTCTTGCAGAAACTAGCCGTCATGTTCTCCTTGAGCGTCGCGTGCGCCGCGGTCCTGTATCTTCTGCTGGGATGCTGTTGCTCGGACTCGACGGAGAGTTTGCCGATGGGATGGGATGATAATAAGACCGCGTTGAGTGTGGGAGAAGAGCTCAGCTCGACCCGGAGACTCCCGCACGCGCTCATTATCGGCGTAAAGAAGGGAGGAACGCGCGCGCTCCTGGAGTTCCTGAGGCTCCATCCGGACGTGCGCGCGCTTGGATCGGAACCGCACTTCTTTGACCGGCACTACGCGCGCGGACTCACCTGGTACAGGTAATGATGACATGTGACCTTGATACTATACAGTCAAACCAAAAATGATTATTCAGACACCAGATGGAATTTTTTATATATTTTTTCACTAGTGTGTGCAGGACACTAGGCTATAGTTCATTTATGTGAGTGAGGAGAGCAAAATAAAGTAAACTGTGACATATATAGGCTACCCCAAAATTCTTTGCTTGGTCACTGGTTGAGCTAAACTGGTATTCTCTAATTGTGTAGTTAAATTTAACAGCTGACAGATATTCAACATAATTCATGTGTGAAAGTCTAACAGAAAGACGGTCAAAACCAGTCAAATATCCACTAATCTGAGAACTCTGAGTTCTGCTCATATTTATCACCATTATCTAAACTATAGCGAATAAACTGTGATAATGTGAGAAATGTTTAAGGTGTCTGAATACATTCTGGTTTGACTGTAAGCCCGTGATCATGCAATGAGAAAAGCTGTAATAATATAAAGCATGTAATTCGGATTTCTGAAAATACAGAAAAAATAAGCTAAGTTTGGCGACTCTTAAAGGGACAGTGAACCCAAAAATGAACATTCTGCATCTTTAAAAATAAAGGTTCCAAAATAGTTTTCACAGAGATTCCATAAAAGAACAATTTTGGTTTCCCCAGAGAACCTTTCAGTGATTAGTTCTTAAAAGAACCACTTTTTGCTTCTTTAATGATATAAAAAACCGTTTTCCACTTTAAAGAACCTTTTAAGCAATGGAAAGATTCCATGGATGTCAAAGGCTCTTTAAGGGAATCATTGATGGCATTAAAGAACCTTTACCAGGACAACAATGGCAAGAGCAAAATAGAACAGCACATAGTCCAAAAAAAAAAAAAATCTACTGCATAATTTATTCATGCATTGCATGCTGGGAGCTTATGCCTCGGGTTCGTGTGTCAGTCAAAAATTACAATTAAATTTTTTATTTTTTATTAAATGATTGTACTATGTTTTAGTTAAATAATATTTTTTATTTAATATTATATAATATTATATTTATGCAGTAGTTATAATCCATTTTTTTACTTTTTGAGCATAGACCTGAAAATGAAATTTTTAATTTAAATGGTCATAAATCTCGAATGCTTTGGATCACAGACTGAAGTTTGATCTCTTTTAAAGAAGACGCTTGGCAAATTATTGCTGAAGTGAAAAATGTTTAAAAAACTGACCTTAAAAAAAAGCTATACAATTTTACATTTATTGTTATGAAAAATGCACTTTTTTTTTTTTATATATATATATATTTTCCAAAACACTTTTTTACTTTAAAACTGTGAGAAAATCCAAGCCATAAATCTAAACAATTTGTATTCCAAATTTGAAGTTGATCTCTCAGTAAACGAGCGTTCAGTGAGAGTGTGTTCGGCTGCAGTTCCACACGCTTCCACTAGAGGAAACTCTACATTCATTTACAATGCGCCATTTTTGACTGCGAACAATACAAGTGTGACTATTGTTTTCAGGACCATTTAACCTTTTCGAATCATGTCCATTATTTTGTTTTGTGTTGACACAGCAAGTGCCAAAACCTTTACCAAGTTTCGTACCATTACAATGATGAAAAAAAAAAAAAAAAATTCTTTAAAAAATGACAGACGAGACAGTCAGTTTCTTGGGCACTGGAAATCATGATATTGCAATTGCAACAGTAAAACTAACGAATGATGTACGTACAGCAACTGTTGTAATACAGTCACAGATTTGTTTACAGTGTACTTATACTTTCCTAAACAATGATGCAACTTTGCATGCGTTTCTTTTCAGATAAATATCTTGTGTTGCAGAGCATTCCTTTGTATAAATATAGACACTGTAAAGCGTCACCGGAATTGCACGAACGGATTCTGTCCTGAAGTGTGAATGTCATCACTGCGGGCCTCGATGCAACACACTCCCAAAAGTCTGTTTTTGATGAGCATAAGTGTATTATTTGATGAGGCGTGGTATCAATATAACACAATATTCATAAAGGTTCGAGTGAGAGGAATAATGCCATCTGGTCCTGCAATCCTCTGAAGTGGGGCTGGTGTTAATCGTCTGCCAGATGTTGCTTTATATCGAGAACACTTGATAGTTTCAGTTTGAGCTGCTTTTGAAATATGTCTGAGTTTTCTCGGAGGGATTGATGAATCTGGCAGATTGGGGCTTTAGTCCACAGAGGCCTTGTTCTCGCATGTCAATTATTCATTCATTTGTTTGTCTAGAAATAGAGAGACAGTTTGATCAACAAGACATTTATCCTCAATAAAGTCTCACCGTTCAATTTTATGGTTTGTCACGCCACTCAGAGAGTTGACAAAACTCAATTAGTCCGCTTTAAACAGCTGATTGATTGTTTTGTCAATTCACAATTGGCTCTCTTAGTGTCCAGATTAATCAGCCTGAAAATGCTTTTGAAATGAAGGCTTCTCCGGGAACCATGCGAGAGCTTTGCCTGTAAGCGTGTTGATATTCCTTTGTGTTTGAGTATTGGCACACGAATCCCCCGAGTGGACAGAGTGTCATCCTCCCGAGACCAGATGGACTCTCAGCGTGACGGGCCACTTGACATTATTGCGAGACCCTTCAATTGATCTTTAACCCGAGTCACATTTTCCACCACGCATAATGATCTGTGCCAGGACTTCATGTGGTCGAGGGCCGACGGATACGCAGCCGAACACAGATCCTGGAATCTGACGTATGCAGGTCTGATGGAATTAATCTTGTTATCAAGCGTAGATTAAATCTGTTGTGTTCGTGGGGAGGGGGGGGGGGGGGGGGGGGGGGCGCTTGTGTTTCACAATCTCAGTTCACATCTTACAGAAAAAAAAAACGGCATTTGAGTTTGCCAGAAATTTACCGTAAAAAAATACGGTAGCAAAATTTTAGGTTTTACAGGCTTAACTTGAATTTACAGTAATTTTTTTTTTTTACTTCATTATCTGATATACTGTCAATTTACCGACCTATTGAAGTACTTATATCTGTTATGTACCATTGTAAATCACTGACAACCACCAATCACAGCGGAGATGAGAGTCACATGATCAATCAAAGCTCATCACAAGCAGCTTTTCCACTAGAAAATGTTAATATTATATATATAATATATAGAAGCTGCACCGTGTCATTCACACACACCATCATGATAACACACATGCAATAAACATTAATTTAACAACATTAAATGTAATATAAAACCATAGAAAAAACTATGAAGAAAGTTATTTAAACAAAAATACATCAAATATGATCCGTGTCACGCAGGGAATTGTGGGAATGTCAATTTACGTATTTTTTAATGTAAATTATACAATGACTTGTTCTTTTTCATTTCCAAAAACTGTAAATTTAAATGGTATTTTACTGTAAAATTACATTAAATGTAAAGTTAGATCTATTACAGTTATTCACCGTAAACAGTACGGAAACTTTCTGTTAACCAATTAACATTTTTACAGTCTTTTACCGTTAAAATCATGATAATTTTTTCCAGTTGTAGATTAAATCTGTAGTTCGTGGGGGGGGGGGGGTGCGTGTTTCACAATCTCAGTTCAGATCTTACAGAAAACCACACTGTAAAAAAAATTCGGTTAAATTTACGGTAAAAAATACGGCATTTGTGGTTGCCAGAAATTTACCGTAAAAAATACGGTAGCAAAATTTTAGGTTTTATAGCCTTTACAGTAAAAAACGTATTTCATTATCTGATATACTGTCAATTTACCGACCTATTGAAGTACTTATATCTGTTCTGTACCACTGTAAAACACTGACAACCACCAATCACAGTGGAGATGGGAGTCACATGATCAATCGCAAGCAGCTTTTCCACCAGAAAGTTAATATTACAGTTTTTCTCGATTGCTTAAACACATTTCTTGAACCTATGCCTCGTATTCTCAAAACAGTAAACACAAATCCATAACGTCTCACCCAATTCCCCAAACATCCTATTTTCAGGTCAAAATGAAGCTCTACACTCAAAACCATTCACTTTTGCTGAAAAACCAAACGTTGCCCTCAGACAGGACACACAAGCCCTCAGAAATACACACACTACAACATAGTCTTACACACTGGTGCTATAAATTCAAAACAACATTTCCAAAACTGGTAATTCATGTTGCTTGTGGTCCCCCGCCCTCCCTCCCCCCCATCTTTTTTTTCCCCCTCTCTCCTACTCGTACGTAAGATGTGTGTGAGCATCATATGACAGTAAAAGAGCACACACAAACCTTATTCAAATATGGAATTGTATTGGAATGGTAAAGAGTGTTGGTATGCCTCCACTCAAGGATACAATATGATGAACAAGTCTAAGAATGTTCCACATATGGTTGAAATACCATCATTGGCCTAGAAAGATAACATTCTGGGAGTCAAGACTATAAAGGAGAAAGGATGCCCTCCCTTCACTGTCACACTCTGCAGCCACTCTGTGTGACTGTACGACTGCTGGCCTTTTCTTGCAAGAACATAAACCTCATCAAAGACAATTGGAAATGTTTGTCTCTTATTCAGTGATAGAAATTTGTTTGCCACCACACCTCTCTGAAGGTTCTGATGATGGAGGCGACGGTGAAGCGACTCAAATTTGTCTGTACTCGTTGCCCAGCCTCCCTCATAGTCATACCATGGACAAGGACATGGCCAACTAAAGTGGCTTGAATTTCATCCAAGACTGCTTGTCTTCTTGCCCTTGCCCTTCCTCCTCCTCCTCCTCCTCCGCCTCTTCCTCCTCCTCCTTCTTCTCCTCCTCTTCCTCCTCCTATTCCTCTTCCTCCTCCTGTTCCTCTTCCTCCTCCTCTTCCTCCTCCTTTTCCTCCGCCTCTTCCTCCTCCTTCTTCTTCTCCTCCTCCTCCTCCTCCTCCTCCTCCTCTTCCTCCTCCTATTCCTCTTCCTCCTCCTGTTCCTCTTCCTCCTCCTCTTCCTCTCCCTCCTCCTCTTCCTCTCCCTCCTCCTCCTCCTCTTCCTTTTCCTCCTCCTCATCCTCCTC